CGGCAGCGAGGCCCTGACCGGCGACAAGATAATATCTGCCATCAGCGAACTGCAGCCCATCTTGCCGTCGCTCAAACATCTGAAAGTGGTGAGTGSCCACCTTTGACATGGCATCGTTGCCAATATACCCAGTCGTATTGTGGACTGCCCGTCTCCCACAACCCACCGCCATCGTCGAGGTCAAACGACGTCTTTACGCCAAACCTCAAACTATAAACACTCGACATTGTTGTTAGAAAGAGGTAGCGCGTATAGGTGGTATGRTGTGTTTTTTCTTAAAATAATGTTGTTAAGTTTCTCTCTTTCGATATCAATKGTTACAAAAGGACCAAGTCGTGTGCTTTTTTTTTTTAAAAAAAAAAGTTTTTTTCATAGGTATAATATGGTCCCGATCAAATATACCACCTGTTGAAACGTCGTACTTACGATTTATTCACTTGGCACGACCAATGACTATAATATCTATATAGTGACTTCACAGTACTTTTTATATGTATATTATATAATATATATATATATATATATATATTATGCATAAATATTTTCCCTGTAAACAGTGAGTGATTAGCAGTTATTTGTCAGTTGCTTCGACATTATCGGTGGTCACTGCGATACCATACGGATAATGCCCTTTTATTTATAATTGTGTGGGTACTTTATAACTCTAAAGTTAGGTAAATCGTTCATTCGTTGCATATAGTTATTAGTTATATTATACTTGTATAGAAAAAGAGTTCTATGTGTTAGGACTACATTATTGAGTCTTATATCTTTTAAATGGTGCAATATATTTTTTTAATTATATATAATATAATACACGTTTAGCATATTAACTATAGTAAAGCATAATTAATTATAAAGCACAATAATTAGTATTTAGTATGCTTAATACGTTTATTCTAAAACGACGCGATTGAGCATAACTCGCAATGGGTCTATCTACTCTATCTGTTTTGTGACGTGTATTCGTGTCCGATCGTAATAAGCGAAATACCTAACACTGTACTAGGCCTAGGCATTTTTCGGATATTAATAAAATTAAAAGT